ACGTAATAAAAAGAATAGAGGAAAATGGCGCCTTCTTCAATTTCGAAAAAAATCTATAATTTTACAATTTATTGACACATATTGTTATTTTTTAAAGGGGTTAAATATCTAAGGATTCACCTTTTCATGACAGTTGAATGAATATTTACTTTAAAAAAAAGAAACTCTTCCAATTTCTAAATCTACCGACCTTGCTAGGAAAACCCTATGAAAAATTGAGACCCCTACATTAAAATGGGTACAAATTGTTGCCCTGGCTTGAACACCCCTGTTCTTTATGAATTTCGATGCCAAAAACTAGCGAGTACAGGATGTAATTTTTTTAGAAAATCGAAGAATATGTATTTTTTTGTACCCATTTTTAATATCGCTACTTAATTCTACAGTGCAGTAAATCAAAATCCGAAATTCCATCTTCAGATATAAAAAAATAAGATTTACTTTTATTTTAATGTTCGAAAATGATAATAATTTGTAAACTCATATATTTTTCTCTCATAGTTGTGCTTACAATCAACAGTATTTACCGTCTGTACTTTGCCGTAAACGAACGAAAAAAAATTACAAAAGCGCGCCATTTTTCAGTTGACGTCGGCCGACGCAAAATAGTCCAATTTATCGCGTAGGACTACTGAGCGCCGTCGAATCACATTTTGGCCAAAAAGGCACATCCGGTTGTCCTACTGTAGTAGGAAGTAGCGACACTGTCAAATGAGTAAATGACTTTCTTAGTATGAAGTAGTGACACTGTCAGATGAGTAAATGACTTTCTTAGTATGAAGTAGTGACACTGTTAGATGGGTAAATGACTTTCTTAGTAGGAAGTAGTGACACTGTCAGCAGATGGGTAATGACTTTCTTAGTAGGAAGTAGTGACACTGTTAGATGGGTAAATGACTTTCTTAGTAGAAAGTTGTGACACTATCAAATGGGTAAATGACTTTCTTAGTAGGAAGTAGCGACACTGTCAGATGGGTAAATGACTTTCTTAGTAGGGAGTAGTGACACTGTCAGATGGGTTAATGACTTTCTTAGTAGGAAGTAGTGACACTGTCAGATGGGTTAATGACTTTCTTAGTATGAAGTTGTGACACTGTCAGATGGGTAAATGACCTTCTTAGTAGGAAGTTGTGACACCGTCAGATAGGTAAATGACTTTCTTAGTAGGAAGTAGTGACACTGTCAGATAGGTAATGACTTTCTTAGTAGTAAGTAGTGACACTGTCGGATGAGTAAATGACTTTCTTAGTAGGAAGTAGTGACACTGTCAGATAGGTAAATGACTTTCTTAGTAGGAAGTAGCGACACTGTCAGATGGGTAATGACTTTCTTAGTAGGAAGTAGTGACACTGTCAGATGGATAATGACTTTCTTAGTAGGAAGTACTGACACTGTTAGATAGGTAAATGACTTTCTTAGTAGGAAGTAGTGACACTGTCAAATGGGTAATGACTTTCTTAGTAGGAAGTAGTGACACTGTCAGATGGGTTAATAACTTTCTTAGTATGAAGTAGTGACACTGTCAGATAGGTTATGACTTTCTTAGTAGGAAGTAGTGACACTGTCAGATGGGTAATGACTTTCTTAGTAGGAAGTAGTGACACTGTCAGATGAGTAAATGACTTTCTTAGTAGGAAGTAGTGACACTGTCAGATGGGTAATGACTTTCTTAGTAGGAAGTAATGACACTGTCAGATGGATAAATGACTTTCATAGTAGAAAGAAGTGACACTGTCAGATGGATACATGACTTTCTTAGTAGGAAGTAGTGACACTGTCGGATGAGTAAATGACTTTCTTAGTAGGAAGTAGTGACACTGTCAGATAGGTAAATGACTTTCTTAGTAGGAAGTAGTGACACTGTCAGATTGGTAATGACTTTCTTAGTAGGAAGTAGTGACACTGTCAGATGGGTACCCAGGTAGCACAAAAACATGTTATTGATATTTTAAAAATATATTGCAAAATGTCACAAAAATATTATTTAAAAAATATTTTTTTGACGTGTGGCTGTACTCATGTGAATAGCATATTTTCTGGAAATATTTGTTCTGAATGTTTAAAGAACATTTTTTTTATATATTTTGATTTTATATTTAAATAACATAATTTTGATATCATTCAGTGTCAATTGAAAATATCCAGACATTAAATATCAAACGTTTTCCAAAAATATCCTTTTCATGTCTATAATATGTTTTATGGATGTCTACCAAATGTTTTTTAAAATATCAGAGGCAAGTTTAGGTAGAAATGTTTCTTGAAAATGTAAATTAAATATTTCAACAATGTTTTATGGATGTCTTCCCAATATTCTTAAAATCTCTTGGTAATATATTTGTAAAAAACATTATATAAATATTCAAAAAATGTTTTATGTTCAGGCCAACTCTCAGCTTGCAAATACATCATGCATATTTAGACTTAACATTTATCAGCTCTCCTCCAGGGCACCTGTTTCTTGTTCTATCATTATATGTAGTGTAATGTAGACTGTTTATTTTTTTAATTTTGTTTTGCAATGCGATTGTTTTTCTCTGACTTGTGGATATTTGAATTTTCGTTTGATATTTTCAGACTCTTTCAAACAATTAAGAGCAGTCAAAGCATGACATGTGTATACTGTCAACACAAAAGCATTGATAGAATGGCTTATTCATATGACAGGACTTAATTATGACTGTCAATGAATATTGAATTTTCCCGAATAGCATTTTAACATTTTATTAATTAGTCAGAATCTGTATCTTCTACTGCAAGCCTCCTCCTCTTGTTTGCTTTCTGAAGAAGAAAAAAAATACATAATGTTTAAACTCAATTGAGATTTAAGCTTTAAAGCCGATATTAAGTCATACTGAATTTTTTTTTCAAACATTATGACAAAAATTGTATTATAATAATTAGATTACAGTTATGCCGTTATTTTGATTATGATATGGATTCAGGAAACAGAACTATGTCAAAAAACGTTCTAACTAAATAAATAATTCAAGTGAAAAAATACAAAGTCAAATCTGAATCAAAGTGACATTTAGCATTAACGGTAATATTAAACATTTTATGCATGTATATCTGCGAATTTCAAATCCGATGTAGCATAAAGGATGGCTATTATGTTACTTACTTAAAGTAATTCATTCTGGGCTATCAAATGGTAGAATGCATTTTGTCCTATCTCCATTTCCACGCATTTTGTAGCCAGAATATTTTCAATGATTACTACTATTCCTTTTGCACTCTGATTAAATTTGTCTTCTGTAGTACTCAAATACCTGACCTATAAATTTATATGAGAATGTAAAATTGTATATTAAAACGAAAATCTACTTCAAGTAATTCATACACGAATCTGTCTGCAAATTTGTATAGACTTTTCCGTTTAGAAATATCCTAAAGTGGGATATTTGTTTTTACATTTTCCCCCCTTTTTTCACATGTACATGCCGTTTCATTTTGTTTTATATATAACTTTTGATGCAGTTTACTTTTTCATGATTTCGTAATGTTTAATTATAAAACGGCATACATATAATTTAAAGAAGTAGCGTCTTCAGCTTTTTGTGATATTTACTCCTACAACATGAGTGTACAAACTATTCAAATACAGATTTTATTTTGCTAAAGTATTGCAGAGGACAAGAAACAAGATTCAGTCGAGTGCGTATACATGGTATATCAATTACGAATTTTTTTAATTACAACTTACATGTTTCTTTCTCTTTGAACTGTTATTTTCTCTAACGACTTTTGGTTTTCTTTGTTATCACTGCTTTCGGAAGTTACAAATAGACGACAGGAAATAACCTCAAAAGTGACCATCCCATTTCTATAACTTAATTACCATAGCAACTAGCTTTGAAATGTGTCCAACATCTTGTTAACCTTATCAGAATGTGCTTGATTAACAGAATGGATGTATCAAATATCATTCTGTTTATAATTGCTTATTACGTTTCATAAATTAAAGTTGAACGAAAAAAGTTATAATAATACATGATTGAAATGTTCATCAAAGGTTAAAATTATCAAGGAGATTATCTCATATAACCTCTTTGGAATTATTAAAGCTTTTCTGTAAAAATGAGGAGACATTCATGTTAATGTGATATCTAAAAAATATTTCTTTTTCATATCAAACACTTGCTTCACTCAAATATTACTAACAAACATTTGATAACATGGATAAACACTTCTGTCATACATCTTACAAATATCTATACGACATATTATGTTAAAATGTTTATAAAATAGCCTTCAACTAATATTTTCTAAATAAAATCGAAAAATATATTGTTATGACGTTAGTAAAATATTCATTAGATATTACCAGCTTATATTTTTAATTAGGACAAGAAAATTATTTAGATGTTACATCAAAAAGATATTTTATTATACATCAAACCTATGCTTTAGGCAGATATTAATCAAAAATGTTTTATAAACATTTCTTTTACACATCTTACAAATATATAATATAATTATAATATAAAAATGTCCATCAGATATTGTTTGAATATTGTTAAGAAATATCTCCTCGACATATAACTGTTCTCATTTATAAAACTGTCTATTAAACGTTTAAAAAACATCAGTAAAAAATTATTATTTATTTATTATAAAAAAATATTTACAAAAAATGTTTTTATATTAGCAATCAAACATTGGGATGAAATGTTATTGGTAAAATATCATTCACACCTAATTTCTGATGTAAACAAATTGTCTTTAGAATATTTTTTTGAAAATATTTCTGATAAACATATATCATGTATATATAACCAGTAAATAATATCACGAAAATATTTTGTGTAAGCTGGGTAATGACTTTCTAAGTAGAAAGTAGTGACACTGTCAGATGGGTAAATGACTTTCTTGAGAGAACATCTTCTGAATCTGATTTCATTTTTGATAAGAATTTTAATGTATCGGATCAAATTGAACTGAAAATAAAACTTTTCACAATTCTTTCATTCACACATAAAAAGCACAAACATACTTACAATAGCTTCACTTTGGGATTTTATATCAGCATAATCAGAGACGTAGTAACAGTAACCGAAACGTAACCTCCAGCCTTCTTTGCATGCTGAAATAAAAAAAAAAATAAAACAAAATTGGAAACGTACAGACTTGATATTGTGGCCTTCACATTCCTATATTTTACTTTAGGGGACTGTGTCCAAAAAAGAATATTTTTCATCTTTTTTTATTAAAAAAAATTATGAAAATACGTTTAGTAAATTGTTCGGTGACATATTATAACCTATAGACATATTTAAAAAGAACCAATTACTATAAAACTGTATGATAAATATATGGGTACCCTAAAGTAAAGTAATGCTATAATGCCTTTTTTTACAGATGGGGACCCATAACCTATAGACAGATTTAAAAAGAACCAATTACTATAAAACTGTATGATATATATATATGGGTACCTTAGAGTAAAGTAGTGCTATAATGCCTTCTTTTTACTTTAGGGGACCCTTAACCTTTAGACAGATTTAAAAAGAAAACAAATACTATAAAACTGTATAAAATATATATGGGTCCCCTAAAGTAAAGTAGTGATATAATGCCTTCTTTTTCTTTAAGGAACCCACAACCTTTAGACACGTTTAAAGAAAAAAATACTATAAACTGTATTATATACATACTAGTCCCTTAAAACCTATTTATACAGCAATTATACTAGAAAAAAACTTATTTTTCATGAGTCCCCTCATTTTTTTTTACAATTTGTAAAGTCCCCTAAAGTAAAAGAAGGCCAATATTGTAAACCATACTCCCCTGAGTCTACACGGCTAAGTCAGTCACTCATTCTAATATAATAGAAAAACAAAGTATATACTCTTTTTTCGCTTCATGTTCCAATTAAACATGGGGTGCAAGGGTGTGACGTCATTGCTAAACTGTATTTTATTTTTAATTCTAATATGACGTGCTTCTTTCGCTTTGTAAACAACACCGTGATAAAATGAGATCTCGATATATCTATACTTAGCGCAGACTCAGAGATGTATATAGTAATGGCTGTTACAATATACCTCAGGTGTTACCTGTGAAAGGGGACGAATTCAGCAAACCTTTAGAATATTAATACTTACGATATCCCGTTATTAAACAGCATATTTATATATATAAACATTTTTTTTTTAAAATTCCAGCATTATTTCTGATAAAAAAAGTCACTGAATTACGGAAACGTATCTGATATTGGTCCTATTATAATTGTTAGGAACTTTATATATGACGTCATTTTCAATGTAAACAAAGAAATGCTATCTTTTTAAAAAAGTGTATATTTATGATCAATTATTAAAAAAATAATCTTCAAATACATAAGATGACCACAAAATAACAAAAAATAATTGAAATAACAACTAATATGTTGTTATTGTCAAAGAGACAATATGATATCTATAAAATTCCTACAAAATTAAATGATAAAAAAAAGAGAATATAATGCACTGACGATTTTGATACAAATATGGTTTGAAATTAATAATTTAACAATTGCAGCCTTTGTATGAGGTCAATACAGGATATATCGACCCACAGAAGTATATATACTTCGTCCTCAGTCAATACCTCTTTCAGGTCAATATATCCTTGTACCGACCTCATACAATTCAAAGGGCTATTTATTAGATACAATACAAAGGTAACAAAGAAACTGGCCGGTAACAACCGTTGCCGGATAGTTTTTCTGCACGAGTAGTCAGGTGACGGTCCGAGGCGATAGCCGAGGACCTTGACCTGACTACGAGTGCAGAAAAACTATTCGGCAGTTTGTTTCCGGCCTGTTTTTTGTTACCTTTGTTTTGTATCTGACTTGTACGACGTTTCAAGAAAGAAGTAGTACATTTTGCAAGTAGAAGAGGTATCAAAATTTAACAGATTCGAAACTTAAATGGCCATATACCAGTTAATGTAAGTTACAGTAAGACAGTTTAAACAAACTTTTTTTTCACTTCCCTTCAGCCTATATATTTTTCTAAAGAAATTCAAAAATCTAATAATTTCTTAAAAAAAAAGAACCATGTCAAGTAAAAGATAAATTTCGTACACGTTTGAGACTTTTAAAAATGCATCTTCGCAAGTAAGTAATGTATGAAAAAGATTTCAGAGGTAAGCAAACTAACATTTGATTTTTATTTGGGGGAAAACGGAAAAGGGGGGGGGGGGTTAAAATAAATTTAAAATAAACAGGCTTGATTCATTTTTGTTGAAAACATGCAGGATGTGTCATTCCATTCCCCCATTCCGCCTTAAAAATAATAAAAATCGTACGTTTGCTCACAAATATATAAATTCAATAACAATATAAAAAGAATGAATTTCCTATTTCATTAGTGAATGAAATGGTACGAAAAAATCGATTTTGTCTTGTTAAAATCACCCATATATAGGCATATATTTTGGATTTTTTTTTTAAATTATTCTTATAGGTTTTTATATATGTCTCTAATAGTGTTGGTCAAGATCAAACACGTGTCACAATATGATCCAATCGCAGCTTACCGTCCAAAATTGGTGACATAAGTTGAATGATTTTCTTCAAGATTTGCTGCCTATTTGAACATGTATTACACGGACACTTTTTATTTATAGGATCAATCGTGCATTGGTGAGTTGATAGGGATTTTATCTTTAAGATTTGATTAGATTTGATTTTTTTATATATATTTCCTGTCTTTTTTATTGAAATATAAACGTCGGTACCAGCATTTCTTTACTTTCAGCATTGTCCAGAATACTATTCATGTCCATATATTGAAGAAAAAAAACATTTACGGACCGACCATTTAGCTTCAAAAGGGGGGTATGGTTTTTTTCTGAGTAAGAAAATGATTTAGTTTATCAACGCTATCACCCAAATATTTTTTTTCGAAATTAGCACTATTATATACGGTATTCGGAAAATCAGGAATCAGAACATTATTTTGTCATCTGATTGACCACAATATATTTTTTCTCATAAAATTGGGGATCAGAATATTTTTTTAGTTTTAAGAAAAAAAAACATAACTCCCCTTTTGAAGTTAAATGGTCAATCCCTTAGCTTACTGATATGAATAGTAATATACTGGAATTGTTTGAAAAAAATTTAGTCATTGATGCCAACGTAAATATTTTAATGAAAAAGACAAGAAATATGTCGGTGAAACAAAAAGTTCAAATCTAATTGAAATTTAAAGTGCCCATGAACTCACTGATCACGCACGAGTGATTCTGTTCATAAAAAGTATCCGTGTAACAACTAAAAAGTGTCCGTGTATCATCTAAAAAGTGTCTGTGTAACACCCGTTAATGTACTGTTTTTCTATAGCTCTGCTGGGGGAAAAGTCGTACAAAATTGTATAATACACGTGGTGATGTTATTAAGTCTCCCAAACGAAGTTTGGGAAGACTTATTGTTTTTGCTCAGTTATTATTATTATTATTATCATTCTTTATTATTATTCTTCTTCTTCTTCCTCTTCCTCTTCCTCTTCCGCCGCTTTTAAATTTGAACTTGTCCGCATCCGTTCTCCAAAACCGCTAGTCAGATTAACTTAGGGTTTCACAATATGTAAGACTAACATGTCTAATGGTGCAATCAGGGTTTTGTTTGTGCAATGGGGTTTATAAAGGGGTACTTTGAGGGGCAAAAAGAAAAGAGGGTTTTACTATAGAACCCAATGGGATTTTATTTTTTAAAATTTTCAAATGATTATAAATTGAAAACCGTTTGTGATAGACACAATCTTTTTAATTGAAAATGTTCTATATGATAAAACCCATTAAATGAAATACAGGGTTAGTCCCCACCACCTGCCATTTAAGAAAGTTCTAATACCTTGTAAGTGGTCAAGATCCCCACCCCTAAACCATATATATTTTGGTTTGTCATGCTAAGATGGTTTGAATGATATACAGGGTTAGTCCCCAGGGGTCATCCTGACCCCCTGCCATTTGAGAAAGTTCTAATATCTTGTAAATGGTCGAGATCCCCACCCCTTAACCATATATATTCTGGTTTGTCATGATATAGCACATGAAATGAAATACAGGGTTAGTCCCCAGGGGTCATCCCCACCCCATGCCATTTAAGAAAGTTCTAATATCTTGTAAGTGGTCAAGATCCCCACCCTTAACCATATATATTCTGGTTTGTCATGATAAAGCAAATCAAATGAAATACAGGGTTAGTCCACAGGGGTCATCCCCACCCTATGCCATTTAAGAAAGTTCTAATATCTTGTAAGTGGTCAAGATCCCCACCCCTAAACCATATATATTCTGGTTTGTCATGATAAAGCACATGAAATGAAATACAGGGTTAGTCCCCAGGGGTCACCCCCACCCCATGCCATTTAAGAAAGTTCTAATATCTTGTAAGTGGTCGAGATCCCCACCCCTAAACCATATATATTCTGGTTTGTCATGCTAAGATGGTTTGAATGATATACAAGGTTAGTCCCCAGGGGTCATCCCGACCCCCTGCCATTTGAGAAATTTCTAATATCTTGTAAATGGTCGAGATCCCCACCCCTAAACCATATATATTCTGGTTTGTCATGCCAAGATGATTTGAATGATATACAGGGTTAGTCCCCAGGCATCACTAATGCATATAACTTTACTGGACCAAACCAATTTTCACTGGACTTTGCCCAATGTCAGGCGACCCTGGGAATTACGAATTATGGAAGCTTCGTTTGGAAGACTTCGTAACAGCATCCTGTTACAATCATTTCTTGTTATTACTGAGTCTGCACGTACAGGGAACGTCACAAAAATCATTTCCATTGACCAATGTATTAAATTTTTACTGACAGCATATATTTAAACGAATATTTTCATTCAAAACCACAATGGTTTATTTGGTCTTTCCAGGTAACTGGTTCTCTTGAAATGTTATTAATCAGGTCACACTTAAAAATATTTTGGTTTGCCCAAACCCTTAGGCTACCCAAAGGTAGAGACAGTGGGTAGGTAGGTAGGCATTTTTTTTTTCAGCAAAGAGAAATTGGAGTGTCATGTTTTTTTAGTCTTCATGCCTATCTGATTAAAAATAAAAGAACAGAGTTCCAATATAGTATACTATAAGTTTTATAAAAAATTGTACCCGTGAGAGCGCTAACGAGGCCATTTTCCATAAATTTAATATTTCGAAGGGGCATAACTCTTTTTAAAAAAGTCGATCGGCCACCATTATAGAACTTGTCCGAAATATTGCTGATATTAACCTATAGTATAAGTTTTATAAAAATCTGGCAAGAATGTACCTGTGTCACAGTGAGAGCGTTAACAAGATCGAACGGACGGACGCCTGGTATTTCCATGTACCCCGCAAAGCGTTACGCGAGGGACAACAAAACTTTTTCACATCAGGACAATAAAATATTTTGAGTATGCAGATATTTTCAGGGTAGGTAGGATTAGGGCAAACAAACATTCTTTTTTATGGCCCCAACTCTAAAGTTGATTCTTGTTAGTTTATCACTATTTACAGGCTATATCAAATGTTCGAGTTAGTTTATCACTATTTACAGGCTATATCAAATGTTCGAGTTAGTTTATCACTATTTACAGGCTATATCAAATGTTCGAGTTAGTTTATCACTATTTACAGGCTATATCAAATGTTCGAGTCCTAGTAATGTTTCATGTAACGTAATGGTTATGAAAATATAATTTTACATTTTGATTAAGATGCATCAACAATGAATGTAAAAGTGTACTGAAGATACAATTTAGAAGATAAAGAGAGTTGTAAAGATTTAGGTAATATCATATTTTTTTTTCGAACTTAAATCTGCATAAAACACCTGGTTAGGAAAATACAATAATGTATGGTGTAAACATCAACAAAACTAGTGTTTGCAGAAGACATTTTACTTTCAATGAAGGAAAATAGTGAAAAAACATTATACTCACCTCCTTGTTCTAATTTTGTTATTGGTGCTTTTGTGGCATCTATCAATTAAATATTATACATTGAAAACAAAAATTAAACGAAATATGACGAAACAAAACGAACATTTTTCAAAAGTTAATATATAAAATAAAACAGTATATATTTCTCAAAAGCGGAGAATTAATTGATATGGTCCTTGTTTGACACCATTGAAACTAAGATCGACATACAACACCCACCAGTCAAAGTCAACAATGACCATGGTTGGCACCATGGGAACGGTTATTAAAACATTACACTAATCAGTCGAAGCCAACAATGCTCAAGATTGGCACCATGGGAACGATTATTAAAACATTACACTAATCAGTCCAAGTCAACAATGATCATGGTTGGCACCATGGGAACGGTTATTAAAACATATTACACTAATCAGTCCAAGTCAACACGGCACCATGGGAACGGTTATTAAAAACCTTACACTAATCGGTCCAAGTCGACAATGACCATGATTGGAACCATCTGGACGGTTATTAAAACATTACACTAATCAGTCGAAGTCAACAATGACCATGACTGGCACCATGTGAACGGTTATTAAAACATTACACTAATCAGTCGCAGTCAACAATGATCATAGTTGGCACAATGGGAACGGTTATTAAAACATTACACCCATCAAAGTAAGCAATGACCATTGTTGGCACCATATGAACGGTTATTAAAACATGACACTAATCAGTCGAAGTTAACAATGATCATGGTTGGCACCATGGGAACGGTTTTTATAACATTACACCCATCAAAGTAAACAATGACCATGGTTGGCACCATGGGAACGGTTATTAAAACATTACACCTATCAAAGTCAACAATGACTATGGTAACGGTTATTAAAACATTACACTAGTCAGTGCAAGTCAACAATGATCATGGTTGACACCATAGAAATTATTATTAAAACATTACACCCATCAACATGATCAAAGTCAACAATGACCATGGTTGGCACCATGGGAACGATTATTAAAACATTACACCCATGAAAGTCAGCAATGACCATGGTTGGCACCATGGGAACGGTTATTAAAACATTACACTAATCAGTCGAAGTCAACAATGATCAAGGTTGGCACCATGGCAACGATTATTAAAACATTACAGTAATCAGTCCAAGTCAACAATGACCATGGTTGGCACCATGGGAACAATTATTAAATCATTACACCCATTAAAGTCAGCAATGACCATGGTTGGCACCATGGGAACGGTTATTAAAACATTACACTTATCAGTCGAAGTCAACAATGATCAAGGTTAGAACCATGGGAATAATTATTAAAACATTACAGTAATCAGTCCAAGTCAACAATGATCATGGTTGTCACCATGGGAACGGTTATTAAAATATTACACTTATCAGTCCAAGTCAACACGGCACCATGGGAACAGTTATTAAAAACATTACACTTATCAGTCCAAATCAACAATGATCAAGGTTGGCACCATGGGAACTATTATTAAAACATTACACTAATCAGTCTAAGTCAACAATGACCATGTTGGCACCATGGGAACAATTATTAAATCATTACACCCATTAAAGTCAGCAATGACCATGGTTGGCACCATGGGAACGGTTATTAAAACATTACACTTATCAGCCGAAGTCAACAATGATCAAGGTTAGAACCATGGGAACTATTATTAAAACATTACACTAATCAGTCTAAGTCAACAATGACCATGTTGGCACCATGGGAACAATTATTAAATCATTACACCCATTAAAGTCAGCAATGACCATGGTTGGCACCATGGGAACGGTTATTAAAACATTACACTTATCAGCCGAAGTCAACAATGATCAAGGTTAGAACCATGGGAATGATTATTAAAACATTACAGTAATCAGTCCAAGTCAACAATGACCATGATTGGCACCATGTGAACGGTTATTAAAACATTACACTAATCAGGCGCAGTCAACAATGATCATGGTTATCACAATGGGAACGATTATTAAAACATTACACTAATTAGTCTAAGTCAACAATGATCATGGTTGGCACCATGGGTACGGTTACTAAAACAAATACACCCATCAAAGTCAGCAATGACCATTCTTGGCACCATGGGAACGGTTATTAAAACATTACACTAATCAGTCCAAGTCAACAATGATCATGATTGGCACCATTGGAACGGTTATTAAAACATTACACTAATCAGTCCAAGTCAACACGGCACCATGTGAACGGTTATTAAAACATTACACTAATCAGTCCAAGTCAACACGGCACCATTGGAACGGTTATTAAAACATTACACTAATCAGTCCAAGTCAACAATGATCATGATTGGCACCATTGGAACGGTTATTAAAACATTAAACTAATCAGTCCAAGTCAACACGGCACCATGTGAACGGTTATTAAAAACATTACACTAATCAGTCCAAGTCAACACGGCACCATGTGAACGGTTATTAAAACATTACACTAATCAGTCCAAGTCAACACGGCACCATGTGAACGGTTATTAAAACATTACACTAATCAGTCCAAGTCAACACGGCACCATTGGAACGGTTATTAAAACATTACACTAATCAGTCGAAGTCAACAATGATCATGATTGGCACCATTGGAACGGTTATTAAAACATTACACTAATCAGTCAAAGTCAACACGGCACCATGTGAACGGTTATTAAAACATTACACTAATCAGTCCAAGTCAACACGGCACCATTGGAACGGTTATTAAAACATTACACGAATCAGTCCAAGTCAACAATGATCATGATTGGCACCATTGGAACGGTTATTAAAACATTACACTAATCAGTCCAAGTCAACACGGCACCATGTGAACGGTTATTAAAACATTACACTAATCAGTCCAAGTCAACACGGCACCATTGGAACGGTTATTAAAACATTACACTAATCAGTCCAAGTCAACAATGATCATGATTGGCACCATTGGAACGGTTATTAAAACATTACACACTAATCAGTCCAAGTCAACACGGCACCATGTGAACGGTTATTAAAACATTACACTAATCAGTTCAAGTCAACACGGCACCATTGGAACGGTTATTAAAACATTACACTAATCAGTCAAGGTCAACAATGATCATGATTGGCACCATTGGAACGGTTATTAAAACATTACACTAATCAGTCCAAGTCAACACGGCACCATGTGAACGGTTATTAAAACATTACACTAATCAGTCCAAGTCAACACGGCACCATGGGAACGGTTATTAAAACATTACACTAATCAGTCCAAGTCAACAATGATCATGATTGGCACCATGGGAACGGTTATTAAAACATTACACTAATCAGTCCAAGTCAACACGGCACCATGTGAACGGTTATTAAAACATTACACTAATCAGTCCAAGTCAACACGGCACCATTGGAACGGTTATTAAAACATTACACTAATCAGTCCAAGTCAACAATGATCATGATTGGCACCATTGGAACGGTTATTAAAACATTACACTAATCAGTCCAAGTCAACACGGCACCATGTGAACGGTTATTAAAACATTACACTAATCAGTCCAAGTCAACACGGCACCAAGTGAACGGTTATTAAAACATTACACTAATCAGTCCAAGTCAACACGGCACCATGTGAACGGTTATTAAAACATTACACTAATCAGTCCAAGTCAACACGGCACCATGTGAACGGTTATTAAAACATTACACTAATCAGTCCAAGTCAACACGGCACCAAGTGAACGGTTATTAAAACATTACACTAATCAGTCCAAGTCAACACGGCACCATGTGAACGGTTATTAAAACATTACACTAATCAGTCCAAGTCAACACGGCACCATTGGAACGGTTATTAAAACATTACACTAATCAGTCCAAGTCAACACGGCACCATGTGAACGGTTATTAAAACATTACACTAATCAGTCCAAGTCAACACGGCACCATGTGAACGGTTATTAAAAACATTACACTTATCAGTCCAAATCAACAATGATCAAGGTTGGCACCATGGGAACTATTATTAAAACATTACACTAATCAGTCTAAGTCAACAATGACCATGTTGGCACCATGGGAACAATTATTAAATCATTACACCCATTAAAGTCAGCAATGACCATGGTTGGCACCATGGGAACGGTTATTAAAACATTACACTTATCAGCCTAAGTCAACAATGATCAAGGTTAGAACCATGGGAACTATTATTAAAACATTACACTAATCAGTCTAAGTCAACAATGACCATGTTGGCACCATGGGAACAATTATTAAATCATTACACCCATTAAAGTCAGCAATGACCATGGTTGGCACCATGGGAACGGTTATTAAAACATTACACTTATCAGCCGAAGTCAACAATGATCAAGGTTAGAACCATGGGAATGATTATTAAAACATTACAGTAATCAGTCCAAGTCAACAATGACCATGATTGGCACCATGTGAACGGTTATTAAAACATTACACTAATCAGGCGCAGTCAACAATGATCATGGTTATCACAATGGGAACGATTATTAAAACATTACACTAATTAGTCTAAGTCAACAATGATCATGGTTGGCACCATGGGTACGGTTACTAAAACAAATACACCCATCAAAGTCAGCAATGACCATTCTTGGCACCATGGGAACGGTTATTAAAACATTACACTAATCAGTCCAAGTCAACAATGATCATGATTGGCACCATTGGAACGGTTATTAAAACATTACACTAATCAGTCCAAGTCAACACGGCACCATTGGAACGGTTATTAAAACATTACACTAATCAGTCCAAGTCAACAATGATCATGATTGGCACCATTGGAACGGTTATTAAAACATTACACTAATCAGTCCAAGTCAACACGGCACCATGTGAACGGTTATTAAAAACATTACACTAATCAGTCCAAGTCAACACGGCACCATCTGAACGGTTATTAAAACATTACACTAATCAGTCCAAGTCAACACGGCACCATGAGAACGGTTATTAAAACATTACACTAATCAGTCCAAGTCAACACGGCAC